TCCAATGTCATCTGCACCACAGCCAGTGGTCAATGAAGGGAGATAGCGGATTAAACAAACCTTCACATTATAGAGAGGATAACAGAAGGCAAGAGGCATAGAGTAGAGCCACACTGGCTAACCAAACAACACGTTTCCTAGTTTTTCATAAAATGAAAACAATTATATTTAACTGAAATCTCATGCTCCAAACACGAGTTAGTATAAGCCTCTGTGGATTAAAATATGACTCCTATTCTTTTTCATATTGGATTGTAGAGTGAAATAACCAGATGTTCATTTAGTATTCGGCTGATCTACATCATAGCATAAGCTAATTTTTAGGTGCAGAAGATACCGAGTGATCAAGAGTTTCTCCTCTCAGGATTCACGAGCTCTAACTATAGTTGGAGGTAAATGGAAAAAAGGCAACTGGCTAATGGGCAGTTCCAAATAGGGAGATAAATATATAATACAGACAAGACATGCTGGATTGCATGATTTTTTTTAAAACATTTGAATTTTCATGTGATAGGAAAAGAGCAATTAGTTTACAAATAACATGTTACGTGCTAACTCAGAGCAACCATAAGGAATAAGTCTGTTTGCATTAATGGATGAAGAACCTGGGATTCTTGTCTCTAAACAGACACAAACTATGTGTCATTAAAAGAGACAGATTCAATGCATGCCTGTAACCCCAGTATTTGGGATGCCAATGCAGGAAATTTTCCTTGAGTTAAAGACCAGTCAGGGCTATAAATAAATAAATAAATAAATAAATAAATAAATAAATAAATAAATAAATAAATAAATAAAAACAAGCATCAGAAACAGTGACATGCTAGGATTTGAACATAAGGGTTTCTAAATGTCTAACATCATTACATGAGAACACTGGGGATATCAATGTGAAGACAGACAGTGACACAGAGGGAAAAAATATGTTTCCATGGGGCAGTCACCCGCACAGAATAGCAGAAGTACAGAGTTCTGAAAAAGAGGTCAGAAAGGTAGAGTGGGTAAGTAGTGTAGGTTTAACTCATACGGAATACTCTGTTTATGAGTCCATATTTCTAGCCCTCATGGACTGTCTGTAGGATCCCTGATGCTAATTCTATATTTTAAGTTTCCAAATATTTGGTTTTGAATGAAATAGTGATTTTCCTTACACGGTACAAATGATATAATTCTTCTATATATCAGAAAGTAAAATTTCAACGGGGCAAGGTAATTTGTTCATGACCACATTAGAGATCAGGAACACTAGCCAGAACGTTGGTGTCATATCTTAGCTGAGCGTCTTTTCACTCTGCCATATGTCTACCTTGTAATATAAGGAAAACTGAAGCTGCCTTTCTCGATTTCTGTCTCCTATTAATTAGCCCAGGTAATGCCAGATTATCATTCAAATATTTAAAGTACAATTTAAAACCTGTTGCTCTTTTATTTACACATAATCATAGAATATCTGTCTATGGCCAGTAGAATTAGTCAAATATTTAGATTGAAAGGATTTATTATCATTTTGGCTCATAATGCATATTATACTGTTCAGTTCACTTCTTGGAACTAAAGAACTATTTAATCAATTTTTAAAAAGTACTTTCTTTCCCATGAAACTGGTAATATACATATTTGGGTAAAAGCGTTATCACAAATTTGGTTTTATCAGAGAATATGGAGGATGCTTCAGAAAATAAGAAAACAATGTGATTTCCTCTATACATCTCTAATCTGCAATTCCATATTTTCCTTCTGGGAACCTTCATCTATCCTCTGAGTCACCATTCAGCTCTTAGTTACTTTCATCTTATCTCTACAAGTTTCCTCCACAAAAAAGGAGTCACATGTGAATTCAAGATAGAGATACTTTTGAATGGAAATACAAAGGGAATGTACTGTGTTTTTATAAATTACCTATAGCTATTCACTCTATCAACAGGAGAAAATTTGAAAACAGATACTCTATAGATTTAAACTCTAAAGAGTAATTTTATCAAACCATTTTATTTTAAATCTGCTTTAAGAATATCATATTCTTCTCTAAATCAGCTTTTCCCTAAAACAAAGTTCTGAGAAGGCTTCTGCTCAAACACTGTGACTAGAGGAATGTGTGCCTTAACAACTTGTGCAGCTCTAAAGCACACATATGCTCATGTAGAGTAGAAATCCCTGGAGTCCAAGAAGCCAAGATAGCACTCCCAAGACACCTCTGCAAGATCCGATACCTAAAGCAGAAGGCTACAAATGTTTCCTCATATCCCTTTCTATGTCAGAACAAAGAACCCCAAAGAGTTAGCTATCCCATCACCATGTTTCAATAACTGATTCTCTTTCAGTCTCCACTGCATCCTTCCTGATTCCACTGCAAGATTTGCTCAACATCTGTCATTCACTGATGCAATCTTCAAAAGGCAGTAATTAAAAATGTAGGACTACAAATGTGGACGCTCTTGTGATTGGGGGTATAAATGTTGAGTATTGAGACCTCATCTTGGTGGATTTTTCCTTTGATGAGTATGAAGAGTTCTTCTCCATCTCTTTTGATTAATTTGGTTTGAAGACTATTTTGTTAGATATTAGAATAGCTACACCAGCTGGCTTCCTGGAATTATTTGCTTAGGATACTTTTTTCCAGCCTTTCACTCTGAGGTATTGAGGTGTGTTTCTTGCATGGAGCAAAAGGATGGATCCTGTTTCACTTCCACTTTCTTAGTTGGTATCTTTTTATTGGGGAATTGAATCCATTGATATTGAGAAATATTAATGACCAAAGATTGTTAATTCCTGTTATTTTGTTGTAGTTGTGAATGGTGGTTGTGTGTGTGTGTGTGTGTGTGTGTGTGTGTGTGTGTGTGTGTGTGTATGTGTTCCCTTTTAGGGTTATGCTGGTGTGAGATTATTTATTGTATTTTTGAGGGTTTATTTAACCTCCTTGGCTTGGAGTTTTCCTTCTAGTAACTTCTATAGGGATGGATTTGTGAATAGATACTGTTTAAATTTGGCTTTATCATGGAATATCTTGTTTTCTCCATCTATGAATATTGTCAATAGGACAGAACTGTAATAGCACTGTCAATAGCTAGAACCTGTAAACAACCTCAATCAAATGTCTCTCAATCAAATAATGGCTAAAGAAACTGTGGTACATTTATTTACACGATGGAGTATTACTCAGATGTTAAAACTGACATCATGAAATTTGAAGGCAAATGGATGGAACTAGAAAAAAAATACATCCTGAGTGAGGTAACCCAGACTCAGAAAGAGAAATGTGGTGTGTACTCAAGTTTAAGTGGATATTAGTTGTAAAGTAAAAGATAACCAGGCTACAATCCTGAGACCAGAGAGGCTAGATAACAAGGAGGACTCAAGGAGGACAAATGAATCTCCTTGGGAAGGGAAAATAGAAGAAATTTCATGGATGGACTGTGAGTGGGTGGGGATGGGAACATGAGGGGTCAGGTGGGAGTGGAGTGGAGAGGGGAGAATACTGAACAGATGACTGGAAAGAGAGATATTTCAGGGTCAGATAGAAACCTAATGCAAGGAAAATTCCCAGGAATCTACAAGGATGATCCCAGATAAGAGTCCTAGAAATAGGGAATACATAGCCTGAACTGGCCATCTCCTGTCACCAGGCAAGACTACCAGTTGAGGGATTGGGACACCAACCCAGCCACACAACGTTTGGCATACAGTCTGCCCTGCCTGTGTGATGTCCTGGGATAAGGGTGTCACAGAGATTGTGGAAATGGCCAACCAATGACTTGTCCATCCTGAGACCCATGCCATGAGAGTGAGTCCACCCTGACACTGTCTGGAGTGCCAGGACTCAGAGGCTGGATGACTCAGAGACCTAGATTAGGACCAAACAAGACTGGAAGAAAAAAACGTCAATGTAATGATGCCTAACGATATTCTGCTATACTCATAGATTGGTGCCTAGCTCAGTAATCATCAGAGAGGCTTCATCCAGCAACTGGTTGAAACATGCAGAGACTCAGTCAAACGTTAGGCAGAGCTCTGGAAATCCTGCTGAAGAGAGGGAGGAAGGATTGTAGGAGCCAGAGGGGTCAAAGACACCACAAGAAAACCCAGAGAATCAGTTAACCTGGGCTCATAGGAGCTCACAAAGACTGAACCAACAACCAGCGAGCCTGCATGAGACTGACCTAGGCCCTCTGCATATGTGTTACAGTTGTATAGCTTGGCTTTCTTTTTTTTAGACAGGGTCGCGTGTAGCTGAGGTTAGCATCAAACTTACCACATAATTGAGGGTGACCATGAACTCTGAATCTTACTGTGATTTTGGGTTGGGCCATATTCATAGCCTGAAGATTAACATTTGTAGATCACATTTGCAGATTTTAATAGTCTTTAGCTTGGCTTTCTTTTTTTGGGGGGGGGGGGGGTTAAGACAGGGTTTCTCTGTGTAGCTTTTGTGCCTCTCCTGGAACTGTAGTTTGGCCTTCTTGTAGGACATCTAACAAAGGGAACAGGGGCTGTCTCTGACTCTTTTCCTGGCTTTTGGGACCCTAATCCTCATACTGGGTTGCCTTACTCAGTTTTAATACAAGGCAAGGTTTCTTAGTTCTACTGCAACTTTATATGTCATGTTTTGTTGATATCCATGGGAGGCCTGCCCCTTTCTGAATAGAAAAGGAGGAGTGAATGGGAGGAAGACAGAGAGAACGCTATGGAGAGGGCAAGCGGGGGACTGAGAGGAGAGGCGGGAGGGAGAACTGTGGTCGGTATATAAAATAAATAAGATTTCTTTAAAAAAAATAGTACTACTAGCTGGGCATGATGGAACATGCCTTTAATCTCAGCAGTTGGGAGGGAGGTGTGTGTGTGTGTGTATGTGTTTGTGTGTGTGTGTGTGTGTGTGTGTGTGTTTGTGTGTGTGTTGCACTACTTCTTGAAATATTATTTTATCTTTATAAAAGTTTCATATGCATATGAAGTCTATATAGCTTCATATTTAAAGGATGACTGAAAAAGAAAAGCTATGCTTATTTCTTCTCAAACCATTAGTTTTATTATCGAGGAATGCTGGAAGTCACACAATTGAAGCTTGAAATAGTTAATTTTGCAAAGAAACTCATTCATTACTTTCAGTGATGAAACTCTTAAAGCTAAAACATTCAATTCTTGGGTTCTGTCCAAAGGTTCTGTTCAGTTGTTTTGAAGTTACAAGGAGAAAAAAATGTACTTTTCATATCGTACCCATTGACATTTTTAAACAAAAATAATTCAAAAATTTTTAAACAGTAAGACTTCACATGTCTGTAGTTAATCCATTGCGGAGAAGAATCTGTAGAAGAAAAAAAAACATGAAAAAATAAACTTAGAGTTTGATCATCTTTCAAACACTGGAATCAAACTAAATTTTTCTAGGCTTTTGATTGTCCTATCAAAGTGTAGTTTATTTTAAGCTAAACGAGAATACAGCTTCCTTTATTGTTTTCATCTAAGGTCCTTTTAAAGCCTCTTTTGAAAATCATTCCAGATCCTATCACATTTAGAATCTCAGAAAAAAAGGTCACTTATCCCCGAGTTCCTGATCATAAAAAATTAACTTAATCATTCTATTGTTTAAGACCCTTAAAGAGAACCTATTAAGATCGGACAAAGTAAAATTAACATGTGACCTTCCCATTATAACTAAAATCCAAATTAAATTCTTTTTGGGAACTGGGGATCTTTTCAAGATGGGTTTCTCTGTGTAACAGAGTCCTGGCTGTCCTAGAACTTGCTTTGTAGACCAGGCTGGCTTGACCTCACAGAGTTCTGCCTGCCTCTGCCTCCCAAGTGCTGGGTTTAAAGGCATGCTCCACCACTGCCTGGCCCAAATTAAATTCTTAAACAGTCAAGAATATATACATAAATGTGTGAAAGTGTCATGGAGCTAATGTGATTAGTCAAAAATGCATAATTTAGAGGGAAAAACACATGATACTGTAGCACAGAGAAATAAGTTTACAGATATGTAATCTTGTAGATGCCATAAATAGCCTCTTGAATTTGGAGACATGGAAAATCTATGGGTTTGAATATATTAACAAACATGTATACAATAACACATATGTCAAACGGTCATGATATATTTAAAGCAGTGTAGATAATACTTTGAACAGCATACATATTTTGTACTTTTCAGCTCCCTTCTTTTATTTAAGGCAATTATTCTTTAATGTATTTAAAATTATGAAATACAGGTAAACTAAAACAACAGTTGATACAAAAAATAATAATGAACATTCTCGTAATGTTTTTCATGTTGCCGTATATATACCATTAGTGAATGTAAAATCATCTTGTTGATTCTTACCAAAGAGTAGTAAGGAAAAGATAAAGTATTAGATTGTATTACATGTGAGGGTATTTCTTTACTGAACTTTCAATTCACTTGCACACATGCTGTATATAGGCTTTATAATCTTGTTCATAATATAAAATGTACTTCTCACTAGGGAATGAAGTTTTTTAAAAAAGTTAGTTTTCCTGTTCTCACTAACTTCATTTTCCATTTGAAGGTTTGTATGTGTAAAGATCACCTTGTGCCATTAATGTTTTTTTTTTTTTTCTGTGAAACACATGCTCCCTATCACACAGTATAAAACATTCTCAGCATTTGAACCACACAGGCGTTGTTGGGTGGCCTCTGAGCCACATTGTAAGTGTAGAAATCGCTTCCATGGCTAATGCCCTGTGGTCAAAGGTTTGCTGAACATCGAGTAAAACATGAAGGGCAAAGAATGTACCACACAAAGGAGACAGCACATGACTGGTAATGAACATTTCCCTCACAGAACAAACTGGGTCTATCAGTGACCGGTTTAGTCATAACACTGTTAGCCTTTTAAAGAGTCAGAATTGTATAAATACAGTACAGGAAGTTCAAAAAGTAATATTTTAGAGACTGCATTCCTTTCTCCAGAGCAGACAGGACAGAAGGTCCCATTTCCCACATTAAAACACTCTGTCTTCTCCTGGGGACACAGTGAAACATTTACCAAGAAGTCTGAGCAGCCAGGATCATGAACTCTGATTTTTTTTTCTGTTGTGTTCACAAGAGCAATGGATTCGATGGCTGTCCAAGATTCTGAAATAGCCTGTTCAGATTTCTTTGCTCCTGCTCAGCTAATACGAAATCGCTTTGACTAAGTGTTGCCTTGCTTTGCAGAACGGTATTCTGACATTATTAATAGTTGGCTCAGTTGAGTTGACCACAATAAGAGCTTTCTCCAGCCTGAGATACAGCCAGCAAGCCCTTGTGAATGTCAGCATTAAGCTTGAGATGGACTCAGATCCAAACTCTAAACTATAATAAACACTCTCCAGAGATAAATTACAACGGCTAGCTACTAAAAACCATCATAATAGTGCAATTGTGGAACTCCAAATGAAACTTAATTTTTAATGTTTCAAATGAGAATATATCATAGAATGGAACTTCTTAAAGGAATTTCATAATATTTACTAAAGCATGTTCATTTCCTGCTTACTGGATGGGGGAGGGGCAAATGAACCCCTATCTCTACCTGACACATGATTGACACTTGATGGCTGCTAAGGGAGGAAAAGCCATTTTTTTATCTTTATTTTAAGGATGTGATTCCTGCTTGGTTGACCATACCCTAGTGGATGGGCCTACACCCATGCATATATGGATGGCACTAATTGGATTTAGTGGGTTATAAACAAACAAAAGAAGAGGGCACGATGTTGGAAAAATAATGGTGTCTTCAGGGAATAGTCAAGAGGAGACTGGGGATGCATATGATCTGTGAGTGACATCATATGTTTCACATGAGCCAAGTAGAAAGAATACTTGCATGGACCACACTTACCGGGGCTTTGGGAACTGACTCTAGACACCACGTGTACCTTAATATAACACTTTCCCACTAACAAGTGATAAGATAGAACTCCAATCAAACAGATTCAAGCCACCATATTTAGACGAGAAGAACCATTTAAGTCATGTAATTTCATGCCTAGACTAAGAAAGGCTGATATTTAATGACAAAACTATCATTTGTCTGCTTTTCTTGGAGGAAAAAAAAATGAATTTTCAACAATAAAATTTTAGAGCATTGTAGAACTTTCCCTTCATTCTAGTCCCTCGCACTACAACAGAACACAAGCTGCAGCTCCCCTCCCCCTGCCCACATCCCCTGTTGTTCCCACAGATCGTCCCCTCCTAACCTACCTTCCCCCACTCATTGCTGTAGCTCAGCCCCCAACTCTAGTACCACAGGCCATACCTGACAGAAAACCAGGTGGGCTGCCTACAGATCTTTTCCCCTCTCTCCATCCCTCCAGATCCAACCCCTCAATCTCCCCCACCAGGCTAAATTCCAGCCTCCAACACCAGCAGATTGCAATCCCTGTGAAAACAGCAGCTGAGCAGGTCAGGAAAACAGGCAATGCACAGCCATCTCACTCTGAAAATGCAGAGAGGAAACAGAAAACAAGCAACAAATACCCACCCACAAAGACAAACCCAGAAATCATAACCTAGACCTATAATAACCCCAAACCGAGATGCTTAGAAACCAGTTTAAGAACAGAATAACAGCCAGGGCAGAGCCCAGCTATCCTACCACAGTAGGCCATGAATATTCCAACATAGCTGAAACACACGTGTGTACACACACACACACACACACACACACACACACACACACACACACGAAGACCTTAAAACCAACTCTCTGAAAATGATAGAGATCCTTAAAGAGATAATGAATAAATCATTAAAGAAATCCAGGAAAACACAAACAATTGGAAGAAATAATAAACCCCTTAAATAAATTCAAGAAAAAAATGAAGAGTTGAATAATACTGTTTAGTAAATGAAAAGGAAAATAGAAGCAATAAAGAAAACACAAACTGAGGGAATTCTGGAAATGAAAAATTTAGAAATGTGAACAGCAATGACAGAGGCAAGCTTCACCAACAGAATACGAGAGATGGAAGAAAGAATCTCAGACATTGAAGATACAATAGAAGAAATGGATACATCAGTCAAAGAAAATGTTAAATCTAAAAATTTCCTGAAACATAAGATCCAGGAAATCAGGAACACTATGAGAAGACCAAACCTAAGAATAATAGTAATAGAAGAAGGCCAAAGTTTAAAGGTCCAGAAAATATTTTCTTTTTTCATTGAGACAAATTTTTATTATTATTATTTTCACATCCTGGACACAGTTACCCTGATATTCTAACCACATAAAGGCTCAACAATGGAAGAGAATTACAGACCAATTTTCCATATGAACATAGATGCAAAAATACTCAATAAAGTACCTAGAAACAGAATGCAAGAGTACATCAAAAAGATCATCCATCATGATCAAGTAGGCTTTATACTAGACATGTAAGGTTCAGATGTATGAAAATCAGTCAATGTGATCCACCATTGAAACAAACTGGAAGAAAAAATGTGATCATATCATTAGATGCTGAAAAAGAATTAATTGTGTAAAGAAGATACAACATTTTATGATTTTCATATATCACAAATACTATTTTCTTAATTTTCCATTTTGTTTATATTTTTGTAGACACTGAAGTTTGTGTGTGTGTGTGTGTGTGTGTGTGTGTGTGTGTGTGTAGCTTTCAATTTGTTATAGAAAAGTCAACCCATAGTGCCAGGCATGGTAGTGTACACCTTTAATCCCAGCATTTGGGAGGCAGAGACAGGAGGATCTCTGTGAGTTCGAGAGCAGCTCCGTCGACACAGTGAATTCCAGGACAAAAAAAACAGACTACCAAAAGAGACGAGAGAGAGAGAG